GCCGCCACCACAGCCGCCTTCTCAGTCGCCGCCGCACAGTAACTTCCAGCCACGGAACAGCCCACAATGATGGCGCCGCCGGCCCCGTCATTGGTCCGCTCTTTAGCCCCACCTCCGCAATCTGGATTCTCCGCGCACCCTCATTGGCCAGATCCCGTGAAGTCACGCGTCCATTGGTTGCCACGCCTCTTTCTTTAGTGTCAAGTTCGGTTGCGTGTTCAAAACCCCGCCCGAGTCTTGGAAACGGAAGGAATACCCGGAAGTGGGCGAGGCCTCGCCGCGAAGCTTCTTGGGAATTGTAGTCCCAGGAGTCGTTCGTACATCCTGTCTCTTTGAGTTCTTTACCCAATGGGGTTTCATGTGGTTCTCATAGCTGGCCCGGAAAACTGGGTTTGTAACCCTTTCAGTCTGGTCCCAAAGGTCCCAACCTTGGGTTTCGGCCCCTCTAGACAGCTCTAGAGAAGATCCTCAGGGGAATGGATTAACACCGTGGCTGAAACAATGGGTTTAAGCAATAGTGAAGGTAGTGCAGGACCCGGCAGTGTTTTATTCTGTTGTGTCGAGGGACGCTGTGGGTCAAAACGGACTCAATACAACAGACAACTCCTAAGGAACCCTGGCGGCATGTACTGGGCTGCTCTCCAGAAAGTCAGCAGTTCCAAACCACCACCTCCTCTCCAGGAGAAAGATGAGGCTTCTACTCCTTGAAGATTTACGGCCTCGGAAACCCCCAGGGGCAGTTCTCCATCCTATAGGGTCGTTACGAGTCAGGAATAGACTCGATGTGAGGTTTTGTTTTGTGTTTTGAGACAGTTTACACCAGCTACATGAAGATCTTTCAATTGACCAAACAATTTCTCAGATGCGTTTGAATTGTGATGTTGGAGAATATTGAAAGTACCATGGACTGCCACAGGGCAAGCAAGTCTGTCTTGGAAAAAGTATGGCCAGAGTGCTCCTTAGATGAAGGATGGCAAGACTTTGTCTCACATACTTTGGACATGTTAGGAGAGACCAGTGCCTGGAGAAGGGCATCATGCTTGGCAAAGTCGAGGGGGGGGGGCAGCCCCAAAGGGGAAGGTCCTCAAGGAGATGGCTGGACACCGTGCTGGCAACAATGGGCTCCAAACAACCATGGTGCGGATGGAGCAGGACCCGGTAGGGTTTCATTCTGTTGTGCATAAGGTTGCTATGGGTCGGAATTGACTCAGAACACTGGGTCTGTAACCCTTCCAGCCTGTTGCCAAGGGTCCTAACCTTGGGTTTGGGCCCCTCTAGACAGCTCCAGAAGTCCCTCAGGGAATGGATTAACGCCGTGGCTGTAACAATGGGTGTAAGCACAGGAACACTTGTGAAGACCGCGCAGGACTGGGCAGGGTTTCATTCTGTTGTGTACAGGGTGGCTGTGGGTCTAAACCAACTCAATAGCACCTAACAACAGACAACTAGACACCATGGGCTTCCTAGGGCTCTTGAGGGTCCAGTGGCAGTTCCTCAGCTGTGAATTCCTGGCCCTATGAATCCTGCCTCCCTCTGCCTCTTTCAGTGCCTACCACCTCCTCCTGCAGCCTTCCCTGACGGCATTTTACCCCCTTCCAAAGCCGAGTCAGACTCCCTTAGGTTCCCCCTTCCCAGAGCCCCACAATCCCACTTGTAAGCCTTCACACACACTGTCCAAACTGCCTGGGTAAGAGTCTACTCCCCTCCCAGACTGATAGCCCTGTGAAAGCAAAAACCTGCTAAGTACCTGTGGGGTACAGCCCCCACCATCGAACGGGTCCACAGGGTGTTTGTGTAATTTAGGGGTAAAGTTAAAGAGACATCAGACAAGATAAAGCATGCAATTGCTCATCTTCTGGAAGGCCATGATCTCAGCAGCCAGGTCCGCAGAGAGGGAGGAGAAGGCAGGTATGTTTCCATTCACGGCATATATACTCTTTCAGGTGCAAGCCCCCAAATACATTATAATGGGAAGGGGTTGTACAAGTGGCATACATCAATCGGAGGGGGACAAGCTAGGGGTATTCATGCAATTGGAAGGGGGGCAGCACTAAGGGTAAACATGTGACAAGACAGGCACACCCTAAATTCAAGACGGCAGCCTAAACTTGGTCCTCTTTGATTTGGCTGACTTGTCTCTGGGTTCTCTTTCAGAGTGACAATCCACTATCCATATCAGAAGGGAGTGGGCCCTACTCAGAGTGGGACAGACTATTGAGTGATTGTTCTAGGTGGCTGGTAACCCTCAAGGAAGTAACCTCTGAGCAGCTGACCTCCAAGTGTACAGTCATTTACTGTGTGTTGCATGCGGTGTCTTAAGTTTGCCATATATTTGGGGGACAACCTGGGGAAAAACCGTTCTGCGTCCCACAAGCACCTCACTACGTCTCTTCTAACTCATAGCTACCCAACAGGACAATGTAGAACTCCCTCTGGGTTTCTAAGGCTGTAAATCTTTTTTACTAAAAACAGAAAGCCTTCTCTTTCTCTGGGCGGCAGGTGGATTCAAATTGCTGACCTTGAACTACTGACCTTAAGATTAGCAGCCCAACGTGTAACCCACTGGCCACCAGAGCTACTTTGTCAAGCTCTTTGTCAACCGAGGATAAGTTACTAAGTGGGAGCTGCCATTTGAAGTACTAGTACTCCAGCAAGAAAACTTCCAAGGGCGGTTTACAGGAGCCGAGTAAGCCTCAGAGTGACCCTTGTTCGTCCTCAGGGAGAGATGGCAGACTCAGTCACAGGCATCCCCCGTTTCCAGACCTACTTGAAGGGGAACTTCAGAGGTATCATGGAAAAGTAGAATCAAAAAGACAATAGAAAATCCCCACGACCCTTCTGAAGCCCCTGGAGTGCAAGTATGACATATGCATATGTAAAACAATGGAAATGTGAACACGGAAGAAGAGACATTTAATGACATTATAGGAATTACTGCCAAAGTACTTTGAGAGAGATAAGAGCTGAGATCATCTAATCTTTGATACATTTTGAATCATTCACAGAACAAATGAAAAGACGTTGTGATTTGTCTATTATTACAGAAGGATCTGGAAGAGACCAGGGGTTACTGGAGGTCAAGCTGCCTACCATCCTCTGCCCTTCGTATTACTCTTCAAGTTCTTCCCAATTCAAAATCCAAAAGGGGGATTTGGCAAAGTCTGACTGCCTCTCTTCCAGGAGTCTCAGCCTAAATCTTCTTGGCTCCTCCCATAATTTGGAGCGCATTCATATTGCCCTATTCTCCACCCAAATAGGGGTGGGGTGCGTGCCAGAAGCGGTCCAGCTTGGGGAAATGCTGGGGTGAAGGTCTCCTGGTGGTCGCGCGCTCCTCAGTGACTCAGCGATTTTCGACCCTTGAGCATGCGGCGGAGGATGACCTGGACGCCAGCCGCTGTGCTCAGACGCCGGGTCCAGCCGTGCTTGTGTTTGCGCTTGATATTGCTCGGCTGGTACTCGTTCCCGCGCGCCTTGCCCCGGGCTGGCTGCAGAGTGGGGAGGCCCCAAGCTTCCGGGGGTCCCAGCCGTGCCCGAGGCTGGAGCAACCTACGAAAGCAAAGAGACAAGGGAAAATGTCAGATGGGGCGCTGTGTGACCTCCTCGGTCGCGTCGCCCTAGCGCTGAGCCCCAGCTTCCCGCGCCCCAACAGAACCTAGATGCAACCGGAGGTCCGTAAGGGGGCCAGGGGCTGGCAGTCACGTGGGGACACCACTTTCATCCCCAGATCTGGAGAGAAGTGCCCCTGACGACCCACCTGCCCCCCAGCAGTGCCGTCGACCTGGCAGCGAGGCCGCAGAGGGGCCCCAAAGACCCGGTCAAGGCAGCCATGTCCAGCGGCAGGTCACGCCGTCCAAGTCTCCGACGAAGCCGCAGCCCACAGGCGCCACAGCTAAGGAAAAAATGGCTTCTGGGAAATGTAGTTTCTTAGCGAGCAAGGCCGGCGTTGCCGCGGTGGATTCTGGGCGCTGTAGTTTCACGCTTGTGAGCAGGCGTGAGCAACTGTGCCAGCTGGGGAATGCATTTCTTCATGAGAACCGGCAGGTGGAGGCTAAGGGCACCTCTCTATGTCCATTACGTTCCGTGCTGGAAGTTGTAGTTCCTCCTGTTGACAAGCAGAGGGTGCCGCCGGGTGGCGGTGGCGCAGCTGGTGGCAGCCACGGGAAACGGCTGGTAGATTTCCCCCCCATCCCCAGCAGCAGCCAGACAGATGGCACACAGCTGGCTGGCAGCTTTTCTCTGGTCCTTGCCAAGTCTCTGCCCCCTGACGGGGAGCCCAGGAAGCCAGAGCTTGCTCTGGCTAGATGTCCCTAGGGTGGTCCCCAGTCTTTATGGCTTTCCCTTCCTCAGCTCATTCGTTCCAAACTTGCCCCTGAAGACCTAGCCCCATAAAGCCTACAAGATTTTCCCCAAAATGTGTAGATCTGAGCCCCTCCTGCTGCTCGGGTGTGCTCCCTCCCCTCCCCGCCCGCGCCCCTTAACCCCAGGGAAAATGTTCAATTCCTCTGGCAGGCATGCCAGGCGGAGGCTCCCTCTGTGACACCACACCACACCCTCCCCTCTGCCTGGTATCTTCTTAAGATCAGCCTCAACCCTGACTCCTCAAGGCTGGGACTTGCTCAGGCCTGGAACTGAGGCCCCTGGGGCTGCCCAGCAGCTTGCAACCTAAGGTAGGAGTGTTTGGGGAAGTGCTTGCTGAATGAATAAGCAAGCACATAGACTCTCAGGAACGCCCCAAGTGACCAAGTGTGGGTGGTTGGACTTCATCCAGCTTTGGCAGCAAATTCCTGAGGTCCGGGAGTGGGCCAGGAGGAAAGGAACAAATAACCCCTTGCTCCCTGGAGTCCACTCCACCTGCGCTGCCAGTTACCAAACAAACACCGGCACCATAATAACAGTACCAAGGAGTGATTTGTCAGCTAGTGGACCACTTGTTATAGGCAAGGTCCTTTAGCCTGCTTAGCAAACAAATGATGGCATTAATTTCACAGAGACATGAACGAGGGCTCAGAGAAGTGGAGGGACTCCTTCAAGGGACACTCCCAGCAATGACTGGATTTAAACAGTGGTCTCTCTTGGCCCAGCGTCGTGGACCACAGAGCTGAGAGCATGTGCCTCTGACCACTGTTCTCTTCAGCTCCTTCAGCAGCCATCTTTTAAAGAGACTTTAAGAGGGAGGTTTTATCAAATAACAATATTCAGACCTTGGAATCACATAGCCAAGAGTTCAAATCCCAGCCCTGGCCCCTGCTTGCCTTGGGGGCCTGGCGTCCTTGGGCAAGTGACTTGCCCTTTAAAAGCTTCAGTTTCCCCACCAGATATTGGAAAGCTCCCAGAGTCTCTGGAGGAACTTCGGCAGTGGCGTAATGGGTTACTTGGTGGACTGCTGACAGGCAAGGTCAGCAGTTCAAACCCACAAGCTGCTTCCAGAGAAAGATAAGACTTTCGGCTCCCATTAAAGATTTACAGCCTTGGAAATCCAATGCGGGCAGGCAGTTCTACTCTGCCTGTAGGGTTTACTATGAATCAGAACTGACTTGATGGAGCTCCCCCAAGAGTCTCTGCCCCTAAGGTCACGGAGGAGTATGGGCAGATCTGGCCAGGGGAGACCTCATGCATGACAGACCTCGGCGGCCCGCTCATGGAGTCCTGCGGACCACATACTAAGACCCCAGTTTTGGCCAGAGCCAGGCCTAATCCCTCCCCCACCTCTGCGAACCCCTGAAAGGGGCGGGACTGCTACTCTCAAAGCCCGCCTCCATCTCAGATTCCTAGCCTGTGATTGGTTGTGTAAGTAGGCCAATTCATCTCCCAGCTGCGATTGGTCTAGGCAACTGCCCGTCCGCATATGGACACGCCCTCTCGGGCAGGGACTTAAAGGGCCGATTCGCTCCGCGGCCGTGGGATGCCCCCGCGTTGACCGCCTGGGGTCTGCGCGAGCCTCCGCCGCCCGTGGAGAACGCTCCCAGCGAGCCCCCGCGCCACCATGTAAACGGTGCTCGCAAGCAGACGCTGGCTTCTCGGCCCGGGACCCCGCCGCCCCGCCCCAGGTCCCGGGGCCCTAGATGAGGTGAGCGGGGAACGGGCCCGAGCGGGGGTCCGTGTCCTGGGGGTGGGAGAGGACTGTCCTCCAGGCCAAGGCTTCTGTAAGGCTGCAGAGCCCCAGCGCCCCTCGCCTCGCCGCAGGGCTGATGGATCTTGGAGGGCAGAGAGCTGGCGCGGCGCAGCAATCCCGGTGGACCCCCCTCCCTCCCACTGGGGGGAGGCACGGCCAGCACCCCGCCAGCACCGCGGTCAGGCCCTCTGAGGCCGGACCCTGGCGAGCGTGTCCCTGCAGTGTCCTGGCTTAGGAGCCAAGGCTCCCTCCTTGCGCGCCCCAGACCCCAGACCCCAGACAATGGGGGGCGCTGCACGGGACAGGACTCCCCTTGAGTTATGTAATCGCCTGCGGTTGCCATGGACACAGGGGAAGGGCGAGGGTTAACCAGGAGTGGTACGGAGGCCCCCAGCCGGAGCCATGGTGCCTCCGTTCTGGTCCCTACCTTTGAGGCCTGTCCTTGTGGAGCCACGACTCAAGATACAGGGGCTAGCTTCCTTTCAACTCTCCCCTCCCAAACCTCGGATTTGAGGTCCATGGGCCTCAACATACCCATCCAAACAGACCCAGCTCAACCATCTTGGGCTGAGGTGGGAACCAGAGAAGCCAGACCTGTTCACAGGAGTGACTTTTCCTTAGAATGGACCCGCACACAGTGGGGAGGTGGGCAGGATTTCTTCCCCCTGCAGCCTCACCTTTCTAGGGCCAGGTGCCTCGGCAGAGGCCTGGGGTGGGCCTCAGTGGGGTCTGCACCTTTGAAGATGCTTTCCAAAGCCCGCAGGCAATGCCAGTGTAGCCACAAGAGATGAATGGAACCGAGCTCAGATTCTTAGAAAGTCCAGGCTGACGGGACCAGTTGAGACTAGAGAATTCCCAGGACTGTCGACCCCTGGTGGAGTAGTGGGCTAAGATATTGGACTGCTAACTGGGTAGTCAGCAGTTCAAGACTGCTCCTTGGAAGAAAGCTGTTGAGGCTTTCTACTCCCATAAAGAGTTGCAACCCACAGGGGCAATTCTACCCTGTCCTGTAGGGTGCTTCTGATGGCAGTAATTTGGGTTTGGTGTGGAAGTCACCCTGTGAGATGCTTCTTTTAAACTTCAAACTGAAAGTGTCCCTTGGGGTGGTTACCTTTGGGGGAAATGGATTGGTTCCTATCATAAAGATGATCACCCCAATAAAAATCATCTTGGGGAGCCCAGGGGGTCAGAAATGACTCTCCAGGGAAGATGGAAAGGCCAGGGCACAGGGAGTGAGACTTCCAAGGAAAGAGACCACCAGAATGAGATATTTGAAATATGAGCCCCATGTCACTGAGTAATTTGTGTTCGATGGGAACCTACTACGCTGTCTAAATGTTCTTTTTTTTTTTAAGTCATTTTATTGGGGGCTTGTACCGCTCTTATCACAATCCATACCTCCATCCATTGTGCCAAGCACATTTGTACATTTGTTGCCCTCATCATTCTCAAAACATCTGCTTTCTACTTGAACCCTTGGTATCAGCTCCTCATTTTCCCTCTCCCTCCCCATCTCAACCTTCCTCACGAACCCTTGATAATTTATAAATTATTATTATTTTGTCATGCCTTACACTGTCCGACATCTCCCTTCACCCACTTTTCTGTTGTCTGTCCCCCAGGGAGGGAGTTATATGTAGGTCCTTGTAATCGATTCCCCCTGTAAACGTTCACTTTAAACACATTATTAAGAAAAAGAAAGAGCAAATGTTTTGAGAATGATGAGGGCAATGAATGTACAAATGTGCTTTACACAATTGATGTATGTATGGTGATAAGAGTCGTACGAGCCCCGAATAAAACGATTAAAAAAAAGAAAGAAAAAGAGACACGCTGGTTTTAGTAAAAGTGAGTCATGAAAGAGTGCATACGTGAAGAATGAGTGAATGAATGAGTTTGGGCTGCCCTGTATTGTACTGTCCTTGGTTGCCATCAGGTTGATTGACTCATGGAGACCCATGTGTTCCAGCCTACAACTAATTGCTCCAGAGGGTTTCCAAGGCTGCTACTTTTCAGAAGCAGATGGCCAGGCCTATTTCCCCAGGTGCCTAGGGGTGGGTTTGAACCACCAACCTTTCGGCTGGTTGAGGGGTTGACCGCTTCTGCCATCTATGACCCCACTAGGTGGCCATAACTGCTGTAAACTTCAGCTGAGCAAACTTTGCCATAACATCCCCTCCTCTGAGATGGGCCACCCCACCCCATTTCCCCACACCCAAAGACATTCTCCCTTGCCTTCCCTAGAGATGTCTCATGGGGGGGGGGGGTCCCTCTCTTGGAGGATGACTGACCACCGTGCTGGGCCAGCCCACACAAAGCCTCTTCCTGGTACCTTGCTGGTTCCTGCCACCCCCCAAGCTGGGGCCTTTAGAAGGAATTGCCGGCAGGCTCCCTGACCCAGGCACGGGGAGTGGGTGTTGCAGGGATGGAGGGTCCCTCCCGATCAATGGCTCCTGAGCTGGCAACTGTCCCTTCTCACAGGACACACCATGCTGACCGGGGTGACCGACGGGATCTTCTGCTGCCTGCTGGGGGCACCCCCCAACACGGTGGGTCCCCTGGAAAGTGTGGAGTCCAGTGATGGCTACACCTTTGTAGAGGTCAAACCCGGCCGTGTCCTGCGGGTGAAACACGCGGGGCCCGCCACAGCCCCAACCCCGCCGCCGCCACCCCCTTCTGACGATGCCCAGGGTGACCGCTCCGGCTTTGTCCGCTGCCAGCGCCGAATCACAGTCTACCGCAACGGGCGGTTGTTGGTGGAGAACCTGGGCCGGGAGCCACGAGCGGATCTGCACTGGCAGAACGGCTGTGGAGAGCAGCCGGCTGCCCTGGAGATGGAGCTGGCTGAGCCAGCGAGCAGTGAGGCCCTCTCTGGCAGCGCGGGCAGCAGCGGGCGGCGGCGGCGTGCCCGGCGCCCCAAGCGGACCATCCACATTGACTGCGAGAAGCGCATCACCAGCTGCAAGGGTGCCCAGGGCGACGTGGTGCTCTTTTTCATCCACGGGGTTGGTGGCTCCCTGGCCATCTGGAAGGAGCAGCTGGACTTCTTTGTTCGTCTGGGCTACGAGGTGGTGGCCCCTGACCTGGCAGGCCATGGGGCCAGCTCGGCGCCCCAGGTGGCCGCGGCCTATACCTTCTACGCGCTGGCGGAGGACATGCGGGCCATCTTCAAGCGCTATGCCAAGAAGCGCAACGTGCTCATCGGGCACTCCTACGGGTGAGTTGGCACCGGTGGGGGACTGGCGGTGACCAGACATCCAGTCGTGAAATACTGACTTCTTGCCCAAAATGAAAACCCCAGAGGAGTCCTGTGACACGAGAGACACTTCCCGTCCGCCCCGGTGCTGTTGGTACACATTGTTTCAGGGCAGAGTGGTGTGAGCTGAGCTCATCAGTGGGTTCAATAGGGGCAGACCAGAGACCAGGATTAAATACCTGGTCAGTGCACTTCACGCACCTGCACGCCCCTGTCTGTCAGTGGAGGCTTTTGCATACTGCTGGGATGCTGAAGCCGCTTCCAGAGTAGGGCTGACCTGCAAGAAAGGGCTGGCCCTGTTTCCAAAACCAGCCAAGGTGAGGCCTATGGATTATACAGCAGTCCACCTGTGGGGCCTGGGGTGGCCATGAGCCAGGGCTGACTTGATGGCTAACCACAACGGTCATTCTTTGTGCTGTAAAATGGTTAGCAACACAACACCCCTGGCCTCGACGTCCCCCCCTCAATCAGGTTAAAAATGGCTGCAGTGTTGTCCCAAGTCCCCTGGTAGCAGAATCCCTCTGGGTGAGAACTGCCATCATAGCAGCTCAGGCTACCTTGGTGTGGCAAAGGACTCATTAAACTCCCACAGGCCTTTGCCAAGAGCCAATTCCATAGAAGGCTTAGGGCGAGGTACCTGCTGGTTGAGAAGAGGTACCATCATCCCTCCTTCATCAAAGGTTTAGTGATTGTAGCCCATGCAATAAGACACACACACACACACCCCAAGGAGTGTTCTGTAAGTATCCAAAGGAAATGAATCTAGGCATGGCTCTTACTTGCTAAGGTGATAGGATAACATCCTGAAAATAAGTCAATGCTTCCGGCAAGTGACACCTCCAGTAGAGTGACCACCTGTCTGTGGTAGTTCCTGTTGACACCTTTGTAGTTGACAACTCATAACACGCCTGTGAGGTCAGCACAGTTACCATTTCATGGACGTGGAGACTGAAAGTCAGACCGGGTAAGCAATCTGCCCCAGGGCACGCATCCCTAGTACAGTCAAATCAGCCCGACTCCTCCCTAGATTCTCGCCCACCTTACACAATGCTTTGTGACATTGGCACCTACCAAGCAATTGTTTCACAACTAGAGGGCCCTCTAAGGTCCTGTTGCAAGTCCCCACTGCTGCGGTTGCAGCCTGAAAGCATGGATAAACAAATTGGGGTGGCTGTCCCACCAGTGAAACTTATCTATAGTTGGTTGTTGTGTGTGTGGGTTTTTTTTAAGTTAAACAAACAGGTGGCCACCACAGGTGACATAATAGTCCTACTCCGGCTTTAAAGGGACCGAGGATCTGGGCTTTGGGGCCCTCTGAGAAGGTGGTTTTCCACCTGGCCTAATCCATGCATTGCCCTGAGTAGACAGGCTGCCATAGTGACCTTCTCTGGGCATCCACAGGGTTAAATCCAATGGCTTTGGTGACACGTGTTGCCCTCAAGTCCAGTCCAGCTCCTGGCAGTGCCACGTGAGCAGAGGAGACTTGCCTCTAGGGTTTTCAAGACTGACCTTCTTCTGAAGTACCAGGAGGGATGGTGTAGTGGTGGGGATTTGAACTGCCAATCGTTCAGCTAGTAGTCAATAAGGCAGCCCTTCCCTTTGGGACCCTCTGGGGAAACCTGTCCTTGACAAACACACACACACACACACACACACACACACACACAATATGGGGGCACGAGATGCCCCAATCCACCCAGTGCCCACGGACCCAATGGTAAGTATCCTGGCCTTAAGGACTCACCTCCTGGATGAGGGACCGGCATTAACCTCTGGCTGCCTGTCAGCGCCTCTGACCTTCCATCTCAACCAACCACCCCCGTGCCTCCCCCACCCCCCTTGGCAGCGTCTCCTTCTGCACGTTCCTGGCCCACGAGTACCCAGACCTGGTGCACAAAGTGATCATGATCAACGGCGGGGGCCCCACGGCGCTGGAACCCAGCTTCTGCTCCATCTTCAATATGCCCACATGTGTCCTGCACTGCCTATCCCCTTGCCTGGCCTGGAGCTTCCTCAAGTGAGTGGGCAGGGGTCCTGCGGGTGCCCCTGGGGATGGGGCTCACCTGTGGCCTAACAGTGCTTCCCCCCCACCCCCACCCCGGCCAGGGCTGGCTTTGCCCGCCAAGGGGCCAAGGAGAAACAGCTGCTGAAAGAAGGCAACGCGTTTAACGTGTCGTCCTTCGTGCTGCGCGCCATGATGAGCGGCCAGTACTGGCCCGAGGGCGACGAGGTGTACCACGCCGAGCTCACCGTGCCGGTCTTGCTGGTGCACGGCATGCACGACAAGTTTGTGCCCGTGGAAGAAGACCAGCGGATGGCAGAGGTAGAAGGCGGGGCCGGGGAGGGTGGGCAGAGGCGTGGACGAAGTAGGGGTGGGGCTCCTGGAAGCACCGCCTCCGGCTTCTGCGCGCAGCAAGGTGGCGAAAAAGACGAGAGTGGGGTGCGGGGAGGGGGGGGTTAGAAGACGAAGCGGGTGCCCCAGGCACCGCCCCTCTGTGCACGGGAGCTGCCCTGTGGATTTGTGGGTGACAGTGAGCAGCTGTGTCGTTCTGGAACAGGGTCAGGAAGTGTCACACTCGGTTAGAGACCTCCTGGAGGGGGACTGCTGACCCTGGGCATTTAGACTAGCTCTGGAAGAGCAGGGGTCACCTGGGGCCACGCAGCCTCCTGGGACACGGGGTGGGCCCTCTGGGGACGTTTTTGGTTGTCATGACTAGGGGCACTACTGGCATCTAGTGGATGGAGACCCGGAATGCTCCTCAAAACCCCATAGTACACAGTACGGCCCTAGCAGAGAATGATCCAGAGCCAAATGTCAGGGGCGAAGCCCGCCGAGCACGTACTGTGGGCGCTTAATGACCGAATGCTAGCGGGACCATCACACGCTGCTCCAAAGGGATATGGCAGGTCATCTTCCGGCTCCCCACTGGGTGGAGGGTGAAGGGTGGGGTGCAAGAGGGACCCTGGGTTTTCCCAGGTCTGGCTCTCCCAGTGAACGGAAGGGGAGGGATGAGGGTAGACTGCAGGCGGGGCTTTCTGCGGGTGTCTTTCAGTAGACGAGGCCAGCTTCCACAACTGCCCACTGGGTGGACTGGGAATGTGAAAGGTAGACTGTAGGAGGGGCTTCCCGGTGCTGAGCGCCACGAGGTGGCGGGGTTCAGGGCGGCCTGCCCCCATGCCCACTACCCTGCCCTTGGCTCCCTCGTCCCCCAGATCCTGCTGCTGGCCTTCCTGAAGCTCATTGAGGAGGGCAGCCACATGGTGATGCTGGAGTGCCCCGAGACCGTGAACACGCTGCTGCACGAGTTCTTGCTGTGGGAGCCCGAGCCCACGCCGCAGGCTCTGCCCGCGCCCCCCGAGGAGAAAAAGTAGCCGCTGGGCGGCGGGCATCACTTGGTGAGCTGAGGAGCTGTGGCCAGAGCCGATTCTGCCGGGCACCCGCCTGGGCGGCCGCTCGCTCCGCCCCCTCGCTGGGCGGGGCCAGGCCAGGGAGACGCCCCCTAGGACGGGGGTGGGGCACTGGGAGTCAGGTGGACATCCCGGTCTGCTTGCGTCCCGCGGACCCATACTGTATGGGGGCCGCTGCCGGGACCCGCGGAGGTGACCTTGTACAGAAGTCCCCCAGTCCCTACACCATGAGTCAGGCAGGCCCCCACCCCTGCTCTCTGTCTTCGTGCCAGCCTGCTTGCTCCTCAGCCCCGGAGGGAACCCTTGGGGCACCCCCTTCCCCTAGATACTCCCCTCCCTCTCCTCCAGGTCCCTCTTCCCGCAGCGCTGGGAGGTATTGTCGCCTAAAGTGGTCCTGTCGCCATAGAACCTGCACATCTCAACTTATAATTCAATAAAAGTAAATGACAATCGTAGTCTCTGGAATTCTGTTGGGGGACTCCAGGGAAGCGTCTTCCCCCTCTCCCTCCCCTAGTCTCCGTTTCCCCATCTTCAGAGTGGGTGATGCTGACCTGAGGAGTCTTGGGGCTATTTGTGCTCTGGGATTGCTTCCTGAGCTACCTGCCCCTTCTCCCCAATGCTTGGGCTGTGTTCTCAGGGAGGCAGTCAACCAGGCAGTGAGCTCCTTTCCCTGTAGGGAACAGGCTGCCGCTTGGAGGTGTACGGATCAGTGGATCTGGCCCAGGACCGATTAGGTTGCCCTTGAGTCTCCCCAACTTAGGATGATCTCGTGGAATGACACTCTGCAGTCTGGCTCCATCCCTGTAATCAGCTTCCCATCATTGTGAGAGAGGGTCTTCAGTGCCTTATTTTTCAGAAACAGATTGCCAGCCCTTTCTTCCTACTCAGTCTTAGTCCCTGGAAGCCTGCCCTAAAACCTGTTCAGCATCAGAGCCCAAAGCAAGCCTCCACCAACAGAGAGGTCTTTGTTGTTAGGCCCTGTTGAGCCTGGCCCTTGGCCATCCTGTTCCAGTGTTTGAGTTCATTGTCTCAGCCACTGTAGTCAACCCTCCTTGAGGGTCTTCCTCTCTTATTGCCCACCTTCCGCTGTGAAAAGCATGATGTCCTTCTCCAGGGACTGGTCCCTCCTGATTAAGAGTCCAAAATACTAGAGGCAAAGTCTCGCCATCCTCTCTGTAAAGGGGGGGGGGGGGCATTCGGGCTGTTCTTTTGTTCAAGTCCTCTTTACTTTCAACAAGCAAGGCTGCATCATCTGCACATGCGGGTGGTTAATGAATTGTCCTCTAATCATGATGCCGCGTCTTCTGGTTGTCAGCACGTTTCCTCCGCATGTAGACTGAAGAAGGATGGTGAAAGGACACAACTCTGACGCACACACCTGCCCTGATTGTAAACCAAGCAGTATCCCCTTGCTTTGCTCAAACACCTGCTTCTTGGTCTATGCACAGGTCCTGCACGAGCTCAAGAATTCTGGAATTCCTGGTCTGTACAATGTTACCCGTGGTTTATTGTGGTCCGTACAGTCGAATGTCCCTGCAGAATCAATGAAAACTCAACATCTTTCTGGTATTGTCTACTTTCACCCAAGATCCATCTGACGTCAACAACGAGACCCTGTGTTCCTCTTCCAAATCCAGTTTAAACTTCTGGCAGCGCCCTGTTGATGTACAAAATGACCTTCAGCTAAGTTTTACTTGCGTGTGATTAAAGAGTGATGCCGTTTGATAATTTCTGCATGCAGTTGAATCAGCATTTTTTGACCTGGGGATCTCTTCCAGCTGGTTAGCCAGGTAACTCTCTTCCAGATTTCTTGACCTAGACCAGTGAGTGCCTCCTATGTTACATTATTTATTGAAACATCTCAACTAGTGTTCTGTCAATTCCTGAAGCCTTGTTTTCCACGAATGCCTTCAGAGCTATGGATTCCGCCTTTGCTACCAGCAGCTCTTGATCATATGCCTCTTCCTGAAATGGTTGCATCTTAATTCCATGTTCCGTGACTCTGTGCATTCCCACCATTGACTTTTGATGCTTTCTGCATTGGTCACTAGTTTGCCATAGAATCCTTCAATAGGACACCTCAAGTCTTGAGTTTTTTCTTCAGTTCTTTCAGCTTGAGAAATGCCAAGCATGTTCTTTCCTTTACTTTCCTGACTCCGGGTCTTTGCGTGTTTCATGATACTTTGAAATCTCAGGTTCAGCTCCACATCATCACTTCTTGGGGTCACTCTAGTTACTTTATGTTCAAAAGCAAGTTTCGGTCTCTTCTGATCTCCACTTGGGTGTTTTCTTTCTGTTTTTTATTTTTTTTAATGACCTTTTGTTTTCTTCATGCATGAGGTTCTGATGTCATCCCACAACCCGTCTGTTCTTCAGTCATTAGTGTTCAATGCAGCAAATCTATTCTTGAGTCCAAGTGGGGACATACCCATAGCAACATGCAAGCCACTATACTCCAACAGGTGAGTGCTGGTGCAGCAGGTGACTGGGTACGAGGCGCATTGGGAGGGAATGTGCCTCTCCTGCATGGGAGACAGCTGCCATAATTGAATGCTCAAGATACCAGGCTTGGTGCTGAGTGTCTGACGCCTATCAGCTCCGTGGCCCATCATCCCACCCCACCCGCACCAGTTAGCATTCTGTCTGCTTTCTCTCTCAACTTGGCTCAGGACCTTGGTGAAGCCAGTTTTGACTTTGAAACCACCAACTCTGTCTTTTCCTTTTTTGTCTGCCTGAAGGACTTCCCCAAGCCTGCAACCAGGATTTTGCTCTTCTGTTATCTAAGGAGACCATGCAGTCTTAGTGTCAAGGCAGTGTTGGATTGCGAGCCACAAGGTTGTTGGTTCAAACCCATCAGCCTACATACATTTTTGTGAAAATTGGTGAAGTGGGTGTGGTGTTACCCATATAACTAAGGAAGAAGAAGCCTGGTAGCAATGCTAGGTAAGTGTTGACGTGCTCATTGCAAGGCCAGTGGTTCAAATCTACCAGCAGCTCTACAGGAAGGAAAATGAGGCTGTCTACTCCAGTAAAGATTTACAGAGCCTCTGAAACCGTATATAGACCCAATGATCCCAAACGGACTCAATGGCGGTGGGTTTAGGAATATATATAAAGAGCCCTAGTGAGGCGAATGGTTAAGTACGTGGCTAACTTAACCTAACCCTAAGAAGGGTGGTGGTTTGAAGCCTAGCCACGCTGCAGAAAAAAAGACCTGGTGACCTGCTTCCGTAAAGATTCCAGCCATAAAGTCCATGGGGGAGTTCTATTCTGTCACATGGAGTCTCCGAGTCAGCATCAGCTTGGTGGCCCCAGATATATTTGACTCGAATATGTGCCTAATTAAGGAGCCCTGGTGGAGCAGTGGTTCCAAGTTGGGCTGTTCACTGCAAGGTCAGCAGTTCAAAACCACCAGCCTCTGCAGGAGAAAGACAAGGCTTTCTACTCCCGTAGTTTCAGCCTCAGAATCTCACAGGGGCAGTTCTGCCCAATCTTATAGGGCAGCGGTTCTCAACCTGTGGGTCGCGACCCCTTGGGGGGGGCGGTGTATCCAACAACCCTTTCACAGGGGTCGCCTGATTCATAGCAGGAGCAAAATGACGGTGATGAAGTAGCAACAAAAATAATTTTATGGTTGAGGGGTCACCACCACATGAAGAACTGTATGAAAGGGTTACGGCATTAGAAAGGTTGAGAACCACTGCTATAGGGTCACTGAGACCCTCTGGCGGTGAGAGATGTGCATTCCGCTATTAGCTGAAGGGCTGGTGGCCCCAGCCCACCACGGGAGGATGGCTGGGTGACTGCTTTTGTCATGGGAGTGGTTGCCAGCGGCCATGCAGGTGATTCTGGCCCTCCTTGACCTCCTGGGATGCATAGACTGCTCCATGGGGGCTTCTTGGCTGCCATCTCCATGGATGCAGATTGCCACGTCTCCTGCCATGCTGCCGGGTGGGTCCCAACTGTCCAGTTTTGTCTTAACAGTCAAGCAGATTGTCCACACCCACCCCGAGCCCCCAGGCAAGATTATAGCCATGGAGAACCCTGAGAAAGGGTCCTACTCTAAAATGCATTACGCTCGACTCTCAACAGCTGCAGGCTCGGTTCTGGTATTAGGAAAAGAAATATCACGCAGGTGAGTGGCTTTGGAAAGCAAGTTTATTCTCCGCTCTGGAGTCCTGACGTTCTAGAAGGCTCTGTCAGCCCTGAGGAGTTTCTTGCTCCTAGCGTCCCCTGGCTTGGTGATCTCCCGTGGGCTTCTCTCCCTGCTGCGTCCACTTGTCTCTGCTGCTTTTTCTAACACTGGAAAGTGATCAGGGTTGAGACCCGGCCTATACTGCCATGACCCCAGGAGCTTAAAGAAGACCCCAGCCCAATGGGGGTCACACCCACAGGTACAGAAGTTTAAGATCCCAACATGTATGATTTCAGGGATACAATTAAATTTTGCCCTAGTGTCAGCCTGGGTCCCATCTCTGGTGTGTATGAATGGTGTGAGGTAGGGGATGTCCCCCGTTCTCCAGTCTTCTCTTCTTACCCCGATGGTTTCCATCTTTAATTCACACCAGTGGTCTCAGCCAGGAGTGGTTTTACCCCTCCAGGGCCACTGGTGATGCCAGAGACCTTTTTGGTTGTCATGATGGAGCAGGGGTATTTACACCTAGTGAGAGGGGTCGAGGGATGCTGAACCTCTGACTGGCTATTGTACAACTGAAGAAAAAGGTTTGGCCAGATAGCTCCGGGAACTCAAGGGGATTCAGCAACCTCTCTCTGACTGGCAGATAAAAGTGGACTGTGTCCACACAGCCAGGACCAAACTCCCAACCTACACAGCTCATAAGCGGCCCCTGACAGACAGCCAGAACCAAATGTCAACAGGGCTGAAGGTGAGTCCATCTAGCCATAAGCCTTTGAGAGTCTCTGCTTTTGTTTCCAGCGACCTGCTTGCATCGTCCTGGGTGGACGCCACGCTGTCGCTTAGGAGACTAGGTACCTGGGAAGACCCTGATTTTATGCTTAGAGGTGCCCTCAGCTCTGTGCATATGGTGGATCCCAGGCCCACTTCCAGAGATTGTGTCCTTCATCCTCAAACCAGCTTACCCAACCCAACCCTCCACCCCAGGGCTCAGGTTCTGGCCAAGGTGCGGCCAGCGGAACCTCAACCTGTTACAAGTCCTGCCCACTGTGGGCCCTGGTTGGCTGAGCCATGATGATGGGCAGGTCGCACGCCCAATGAAAGAACAGATCTGAAAAACCCAAACCAAACTCACATCCAGTTGATTCTGGTGCATTGTGACCCTATGGGACAAGCACTGTCCCTGTGGTTTCTGAGGCTCGAACTCAGAAAAGAAAGCCCCATTTTTCCACCTTGGAGCAGATGGTGGTTTCAAACTGCTGACCTTGTGGTTAGCAGACCAATGCTGAACCACTATGCCACCAGGGCTCATAAAAAAGAGCGCCACTGCCGTTGAGTGGGTACCTGCTCCTGGCCGCCATGTGTTACAAAGAAATGGCGTCCACTGGGTTTTCTTGGCTGTAATCTTTACAGAACCAGACTGCCAGGCCTTTCGTTTGCAGTGTCGCTGGGTGGGTTCGAACCACCAGCCTTTAGGTTAGCAGCTGACTGCAAAACAGCTTGTACTACCCAGGCTCCTCCAAGTCTCTCAGCCCACTTTGAGGAAGCAGCTTCCAGAATATGCAAACCATCCCCCACAGACGGGGCTGTGAACACCACAGCAGCAACACCTCCCCAGAACAGAGGCCAGGCGTTGATGGGCACGTGACCAGTCTGCAGTCTGGTCACTCGGCTGCCAGGTTGGGACTCTTTAGCCCCTTCTTCTGGAAATGGAGACAGGCTCCAAGAAGCCAAGCCCTGGGACCCAGGTAGCACTGTGATTCTGAGCAGGGCTGACCTCTCACCCCTCTGCCCTGTTGTCCTCCACAGGTCCTGCCTGGACTTCCACACCACAGTGCACCTCTTTGCTTGGGAGATTGGTTTTTCACCTCCCGGGCTCCGAGTCAGATATCTGCTTACATGTCTAGAGCGGAAGGCCTCTCATTGTCCCTGGTGCACACTAAGGAAATGGGGTTCACACAGAGAGGTAGCAACTAGTCTGGGAATGTAGTCCCTGAGTGTGTCTGTAAGAAGCCCCTGGCCTGCCCCACAGCAGCCCCTCCTGGTAACTGGAAGAGCAAAGTGGGTTTTGCCCACCTAGCAAGGAAGGACCAAGCATGTTCAATTCCTGCACCGCTTTCTACCTCTCCTGACAGCTCCTGCTGTCAAGGTATCCTTCTTCAGCCCATGGGGGTGGCCAGGGGTCCCCCAGCTACCCTCGCCTGCTGGAGGCAGGAATGGGGGCTGCTAGCTGCACGTGACGGCCAGGCCGGTCAAACACCCTGCCCCTCTCGCAGTGCTCAGCCTCGGGCCTGGATGTCCTGGGGCCGCAGTTCCCGCTCTCCCTCAGCCAGGAAGACCAGGAGGGCTCGGTGCAGGAGGTGCACCCCCAGGCGGCGCCGCCGGGTGGGGGGCCACTCGGCCACCACTCCATAGCAGTGACCCTGTTTCTGGTTGGTCAGCATCCGGATCCCTGGAGAGATTAAGGGAGGGTGACTGGACAGCTCAGGGACCACCCCCGGCACAAGTATGTGACAGTGACCCCTCTGTGTACGGTCCTCCAGTGAGGATGAGCTCATGGCGCAAAACGCACACATGCAGGCGCCCGATGGCTGTGCACTAAACCAGTGGAACAGCCCACGCAGCACACGCCAGGCACCCACCTAGAGCATCCACGAGACACGCCTCCCGAGTATAGGCCTCCACGGCGACCACGTGCTGGAAGCAATGCAGGGAGACAACACCACGGCCACTGGCCCAGATGTCCAGGATCCGATGTACCTTGGGGCAAGCCTAGGGGGGGGCCACAAGGGGGGAAGGGTCAGGAATCGGCCTCCAGACCCCCACCTTCCCCTGTCTGCCTGTGGCCCAGGTGGGCCTCATCCCCACCTGTTTTCCTGGCCGCCTCCGATGGCCAAGGGCCTCCCAGAGGTGGGCATCCGGGCGGGCCCGTGTCCCCTTGCCCACATAGAAGATGGCGCGGACGAATGTGTGGAGTCGCTCAATCGGGGTCAGCACGAAGGCTCGGCCTGGCAGGTCCTGAGTTTCCCTGAACGAAGGGGGCAGCTCAGCGTGTGGAAAGTGATGTGACCCAGCCCCCAAGGTCACAGAGCAGCTCCAACCCTGTGATCAGTGACCCCCCGTCTATAGAACAGGCTCAGGAGGGCAGCTAGTGCCTGGGGCCACTTTGACACCTGGAATTGGGCCTACCTGCCTTTACAGATAAGGAAGTGGATGACCAGAGATGGCGGGATATTTCTCTGAAGTCACACAGCAAGGAAGAATCAGTCCCAGGAAGGGCTGGCTTCAGGAGCCTCACCTGGGGTCCAGCAGCAGGTAGGTGAAGCTGGACTTGACCACCCCCTCTCGCCACCTCCTGGTGGGGTCAGGCCTTGCAAACTGCTGGGCCAGCAAGTCCTCGTCGGCCTGGGCATCTGGAATCCGGCCTGTCCGCAGGGCCTTGGCCAGCTCCAGGCTGTGCCCTGCAAAGTCTGGGCCTGCCAGGGGAAACTGTGTCAAAGGCGAGAGAGGGAGACACGGTTCCCAGAAAGGTAGAACGTGGGCTCGGAGATGCCGGGTGCTCAGAGGAGACTAACCAGGTCTAGCCTTGCCGTCTTCGGGTCCATGGAGGGAGTGCGGATGGGTGGAGGGTGTGACGGGCCCTCCACGGGCTCGGGGTCTCCGCAGCAGCTTCAGGTCGGACACTGCAGGGGCTGGCGTGCACCAGCAAGTGGGGACAGGGTTCCTGCTAACTGTGGACCGCTCCTCATCCTCTGTCAACCAGAGGGCAGCCACATCGCTATCCAGAGAGGTCTGGTCATCAGTCAGGAAGTGGAGGTCTGGGGCTCCCCACAGTGGGTCCCGTGGGGGGTTCTGGGTTGGGTTGAGGGTAGAAGAGGTAGTGGAGGAAGAGTTGCTGTCTGTAGAGGCCAGAGTCAGGGCCTGGAAGCAGGCGTTGAGTTCTGCTTGCTGGGCTCCCATCAGGGCTGGATATGCCCTTGGGGAGGCGCCCTGAGCCCCTGGCACCCTGTCTGGGGAATGGACTTCAGGCAGGAGTCTCTGCACAGTCTGGGGCAATGACTTGGCCCTGGGGGGACTGTCAGTGCTTGAGTGCTCTGCTCCAGAGGCCTCCACCGCGGTGATAAAGGAGGCATCGGAGCTGCCATCCCCAAGTCTGGGGCTCCCCTCCTGGTCGGCAGCCTCCAGGGGCACAGGGAGGTCAGGAGCCTGGGCAGCCTCGAGCCCCCCGTCACTGCTGTCCCCACCACCCAGCTGGGTCTGGAGCGCCGTGGAGTCCAACATCACCTCTCCGGCATCAGAGAGGCCAGCAGCAACCACTTCGTTTGCTTCCAGGCCTGGAGTAGGGGAAAGATGGGGGAGTTAGAGAGGAGGGGGGCTGGGAGGCAGAGATGGAAACAGCTGAGCCGGATGCACCCAGCCACAGATCTCTGGAAATCTGAGGAGCCCGCCATCAGAATAACCTGAGACCACTGGAAACAACTGGACACAGAAACGGCTGGACGCATCCAGAGATGGTGGGAATGGTTGTAGAAGACTAGAAACAGACAGAGAGACCCGGAGACAATGAATGCCAGCGACTGTTGGAAACAGCAGCCAGCGGACCTGTGGCACCGAAGGCCCCACTCACCTCTGGGCTCGGGCTCCGGGGTTGGTGCCGAGTTCTGGGTCCCTGTCCTCAACGCCCGCAGGAGGCGAACGCAGTCCCAGTGTCCCTGCTG